TGATCTGTCGTTAACATCTGTCTCCTGAAGTTTATTCAGCGTAACTGTGTTGGTGGGAACATCTTCTTCTTTTGTCTGTGGATTAGTGGAAATGTTTATTCTGAAAATAACATTTAAAAATCATTAACACTTAGAAACTAAATCACAGCTTCTTGTTTTTTGTCAAAGCACTAGAGAACCTACACTCTTCTCCTTTGTCTACTAATCAACTCAGAGTAGATATGAAGGATAGCTGTAAAGCCAAGTCTCATGTGTTTTCTGGAAGCTTTGTTTTTCCTTTTCTGCATTAAAGCAGTGATGAGACTGTCTCGATTTAACAGGATAAAGAAATACTTCTTTTTCAGATAGGCAGGTGTATACATAAAAAATAAAAAACAAACCAAAACCAAAACAAAAAAACAACCACCAAACCAGGTGACGGTGTTCTGGTAGACTACATGAGTTCTGCTGCTGCTTTCTTATGCTTGATGCTGGGTACTATTTTTTTTTCTCTTTTAGGATGAATACTATCATTTATTAGCAGAGAAAATCTATAAGATACAAAAGGAGCTAGAAGAGAAACGGAGGTCTCGTCTACATAAACAAGGGATGTTGGGGAATCAGCCAGCCTTACAGACCCCAGGACCTCAGCCCCCTGGTATCCCACAGGTGGCTGCTGCCATGGGCCAGGCACAGCCCGTGAGGCCGCCCAGTAAGTACTTCTATAGGAGGTACTTCTGCATTTCAGCTGTAGCTCTGCACAGTTTGTGTCCTTGGGCTCTCATGCTGATCTCGAGTTCGCATTTTAAATTGTTCTTTGCTGACTCTTCTTCTGTTGTGTTGCAGATGGGCCTATGTCCATGCCAACCGTGCCTATAAGTCGTATGCAGGTTTCTCAAGGTATCTATGTTTTCCTCTCTAATTGCAATTTGTGGGTTCAAAATAATTGTTAGGGGGAAAAGCTGATCTTCTGTTTTCCTTTTGGAGTTGGGGTGGGGGGGAACTACTGGGTCTCCTTTTTTTTCAGCATCATTCTTTGTTGTTGCTCTGTGGCAGGAGCTGTCTTAGTGCGGTCTTGTCTTAAGAACTGCAGTATGTACCAAATACTTTGCTAGCGATTGGGAGGTAACTCAATCCTTTCAAAAAGAGGAGAGCGCAAGCAAGAATACTGCAAATCATCTCATTTAAAACACTGTAACGGAGGGGTAGGAGGGGAGGAGGATGTTGGCATGTTTTCATCGGTTAATTAGCCAAAAATACACCTGTAGCTGGAAACTCAGCATGTTAATCCTAGAATCTGTATAACTAATTATATCCTTTCTTGGTTTCTGATGCAAAGTGCATCCAAAAAAGCCTTGTAGCTTGTTCGTAGCACTGATGGCTTGTTGTCACTGATTTAGGCTGCTGTGGGCTCATGGGTATTTTCTGTCTGAAAAATAAAAACCCATGACTTTTAAGTGCTTTGGCTTCCTTCAAAAATGTGTCCCCAATTATTTTATTTCTTGGTTCAGAGTTAGTAATAGGTTGAAACTTGTGTTGAAATGTCCTTGAGAAGTTACATCCTTTTAAAATTCATTTCAATAGGAGAAAAAGTTGATAGCAAATATAGCTCCATAATTATTTATTTACACCTTTATTCCTGTTTGACAAGTTTGGGGTTGTTTGAAGAGGTTAAACATTTTGTATAAAAAGCACAACACCTGTTTAAGCATATTGCTAGCTTTTGTCCTAATTTGAGGCTAGGAGTTGCCTTCATATATACAATATGTATTTTTATCATATTTACGTCAACCATTTCATTGAGGCCTGAATAAGACATTGGTGTTTCAAAGCAAATGCCTGATTTAAGAAACCGTCCCAAGGTATTATGTAGAAATACCATCCTGTCTTTGCAGATCATCCACACTTTTCATCTTTTGCCTGCCTTTGTTTTTTTTTTTTTAAGACACCGAAAGTTGTATTTCACCCTAACTGGTATTCTAAATACTTCTTGCATCCTGATTTGTCTCTTAAGCCAAGTAATTTGACCAAAGTTAAAAGAAGAAGATGAAGTACAGGGCAGTCAGACTTCAGTCATAGTAGATGTTAATTTTATAGTAGAGTATACATACATAAATTCTGATGACTTGTTCCTAATGAGTTGTTCTGGGGGTGCATTTGCAGGAATGAATCAGTTTAACCCCATGTCCATAGGGAATGTACAGATGCCACAGGCACCCATGGGACCCCGTGCAGCTTCTCCAATGAACCATCCTGTACAAATGAACAACATGGGCGCTGTTCCTGCGGTTCGTACTTCTTGTTACCAAGTTCTTCTCAAAATTGGTTGATTACATTTAGCAGTGTTAATGCTGTTCTGAAAAGGCCATATCATAGAGTAGTACCGTAAATTGTAGGATAATTTAATAGAAATGTACCGAGTCTGTCGGGCTTTTATTGAGGCGTTTGTTTTCAATATTTACGTGTTTTAAAAAAACAAAACAAACAAAAAAAAACTTTAGGGAGGTAGATGCCAGAGATGCAATAATCTCCAACAGTCTGTGGAAGAGTATAGTTCTTTCAGAAACTCTGTCTTTGCAGTATATATACCTTCTTTATTCCTCCATGAAAACATGTTTTTATTCTTCAGAAAAACAAAAATATTTTCAGTTTCACTGGATTATCTCTGTTAGCTCAGAGAATAAAATGGAGTTTTAACACTCTTAGTGGAGTTTTGTATATTACCTCTTTAAAAATAACTTCCTCATGAATACTGTGGAATAAATGCTAAAGTTGCATGCATATGCCCACTTCCATTTGGTTTACTGAAGCCAGTTTTCCTTTTATTTTTCTTGTCCTATCTTTTGGTCGATTACATTGAGGGTATTTTCCTTTGTCTTCCTCCATAGCACTAAATGGTAATATCTTTAATTTGGGTGTTAATTTTTAGATGGCAATGTCTCCTTCTCGAATGCCTCAGCCGCAGAACATGATGGGAGCTCATTCCAACAACATGATGGGTCAGGCTCCTACCCAGAACCAATTCCTGCCGCAGAATCAGTTTCCAGCATCCAGTGGGGCTATGAATGTGAACAATGTGGGCATGGGTCAATCAACAGCCCAGGCCGGGGTGGCACAGGTAAGATGCATTTTCTAATACTTGAGTTATTTACTCTTAATTATTTTGTTCTAATTTATTTAATTTAGGTATGTTTGTTTATTTATATTTATATATCCATTGTTTGTTGTAGTCACCCCTGACTTTGGGGGACCCTGGGTTACATCTGCCTTCTTCATAAGCTCTATATAACCTATCTACATATGCTAACTGGGGGGGGTAACGCCCTGTAATTCCTGATTTAAATTTTTAAAAATGCATGCTGATGAGATTGTTGGGGGAGTATCAGAAGTTAGTTTATGGGACGTTTATGAGCATATGCTTTTGTCTTTGTGTGGACCTTAGTAGCGAACTTTAAATCAAGAATTACAATAAAGTGGTTGGGGAAGATCTTTTAAAGCTTGTTTTAACCTCTATACTTCTGAAGAGAAAATTGGTTTTTTTTTCTGTAACATTTTTCTGTTGCAGTAGTGGTCTGTGCTTGTGATGCCAAAGTATATGCTTTTCCACAGGGAGAGGCTTGCTTTTTAACTCAAGAGTCCAAGTAATTTAGGTTAGTTGAGACCTCCAGAGTTCTCTAGTCCAGCCGCATCCTCAAGTGAGAGATAACTTAGGTCAGGTTACAAAGGGCTCTGTTGGAATATGTTCAGGACAGAGCATCTACAATTTCTTGGGCCCTGGCTCAGTTTTTTGACCACCTTTGTGGTGAACATTTTTTTCCTAATGCACTTAGTTCAATAAAACTGACTACGTACAGGCAATATTGAAGCATGTTTTAAATTTGAAACCTCATCTGCAGGACACTATTAATTGATTTAGATTTCTAAGAGTAAGAGGTACATCTGAGGATAGAGTATTCTTTTTTATCATTAGTTATCTGATGCAATCTTTAGTAAAATGTATAGTTTAAAAGTCTGTGCACGTCCAGAATACTTTATTGTTGGTGCTCTGAAAAACAAATCCACAATTTCCTTAAGCATCTGGGATAGTCTAATTAGAATTAAAAAAAAAAAACCCACACAAAACAAAACAAAACCAAACCAAAAAACAAACAAACAAAAAAAACAAACCACAAAAAAAAACCCTCTCAAGTCTTGGACTGTGCAATGGGGCAGGCATTAAATGTGTTGGACTGCCTTCTAAAGCAGGGCTGCTCAAGAGTCCTGGCCTAAAATGTGTATTTGCTCGAAACCATTTTGTATGCAAAGTCTGACCTTTGCCCAGCTAATGGCATGATTTAGAGATTGTCTGCCTGTGGGCTTCTGTGTTACTCAGAGATCGTGAGGATTCCCTCTCTGTGCCAGTAGAATTAACGTAAAAAGACATGCATGGCACATCTAGGTCTAGGAGCAAGGTCTTTGACTAAAAGCTGATGAAGACGATTAGAGAAATCAGAGCATAGTCATTTGCAATAGCAGCATTTGTTTATAGCTGATCTCCTGTTTAGACTTACAGTATTCTGTTAAGGAAGATTTCAGTGCTGTGATTTAAAGGATAAGTGTGATTCCCAGAGTTTTGGGAGTCACATGTCTGTAAGACAATCCCTCTCTCTAGCAGGGGCAGGTTCCCAGTGCTGCTCTTCCCAACTCCATGAACATGCTAGGACCGCAGAGTGGGCAGTTACCATGTCCACCAGTGACCCAGCCACCTCTACATCAGACTACACCTCCTGTGTCCACTGCTGCTGGGATGCCACCTATTCAGCACCAAACACCAACTGGAATGACTCCTCCTCAGCCAGCAGCACCCACTCAGCCATCGACACCGGTCTCATCTTCAGGACAAACACCAACACCGACACCGGGTTCGGTTCCAAACGCGACACAGACACAAAGCACACCTACAGGGCAGACTGCGGCACAGGCTCAAGTCACACCGCAACCTCAGACCCCAGTTCAACCCCAGTCTGTGCCAACCCCACAACCATCTCAGCAACAGCCAACATCTGTGCAGGCACAGCCACCTGGCACTCCCGTAAGTACCAGCTAGTTGCGTTTTTCTTGTGTAGTGGCATTCCACAAGAGTTCTCCCTATGTATAGCACCATGTCGTGAATGTATAGAGCCCATCGTTGTCAATCTGTGTGTTCAGATGTTCTCAGCATTGTTTGAAGGAGGGGGGCGTATTGAATGACTTCGAACTGCTCAAAGTAAAAGCGGCAGCAGTGTGCAGAAAGATGAGGGATAACAGGCCTGATACTTTATTTGGCCTTAATCAGAATCGGTCTTTTTTGATTATGAAAGTTGCATAAATTTTTTCGTTTAAGCTTTAGTCAGGAAGAATGCACATGTCAAGGAATGTACGGTGTTTTACTGGGCAGGTGTTTTCTCTGTAAAAGAAGCCTCTTTGGGGCAGAATTCTCCCTTGGCTTCTCCTCTGTAAAGCAGAGTTGTTAAATGTGTTATATCGAAACTTGGCTACAGTGAGCTCCTGTATCCATGTTCTGCACTGTTTTAGAATATCATCTCATGTCTCTTTTGTGCTGTTCATTTTTAGTAAAGGAAAATATTTCTATATATGCAGTGTCTTTCTTTTGTACTGTTTTTACAACAGCTATCCCAGGCAGCAGCTAGTATTGATAACAGGGTCCCCACCCCTGCCTCAGTTGCTAGTGCTGATACGAATTCCCAGCAACTAGGACCAGATGCACCAATGCTAGAAAGCAAATCAGAAGTTAAAACTGAAGAAACTGAGCCAGAGACTAGTGAGACACAAGTGGAAGCTAAGACTGAGGTAAATGAGATTCTATACAGCTTAACTGAAAGCAGTGATAGATATAAAAGCACTTAATGATGTGTCTGAATTGGTGAGCTAAGGGGCGAGAGGAGGGTAGTTACTGGAAAGTAACTGTCCTGAGGAAAGCCATGGAGTGCTTTGACAATCTCGAACTAATATTTTGATAACTCAAGTTTGGGTCATAAGTGTAATAGTACATCTCATTGCATCCTTTCTTAAGGTGGAGGAGGATTTACAAGGATCTTCACAAACAAAAGAAGAAACAGATGGAACAGAACTGAAACAGGAGCCAATGGAAATAGAAGAAAAGAAGCCTGAAATAAAAGTAGATGCTAAAGAGGAAGAGGAGAGCGGCACTAATGGAACCACTTCACAATCCACATCGCCATCTCAGCCCCGCAAAAAAAGTATGTGTATGAAAACTGAGTTTTTCTTGTGTACTTTATTTCACTAGCATTTGTTTTCCACGGTCTCAGTTCCTGCTGGGAGGTCTGTTTTGCATGCGTATTCCAGCACATGGAGCTCTAGGAGATCCATACTTTGTAATTTATTTTTGAAAGTAGCATTCCTTTAATGTTACATGAATCACGGGTGAGAAAAGCATGTCATTGTGGTCTTGATCCCAGCAGCCTTCTCACAGCTTCCAGTTTCTGCCCAGAAAGACCAAGGTAGTAAGGCAGTGATTGCTGGAGAAATTATATACATCTCTCCCTGTACATCTTGGCCAGTGCTTTTTCAAGGGAGCTTAGTGTAGATAGAGTCCTGTCAGTAACCGAGAATATCCATTGCTTTGCTTTTCCGTTAGAGGCTGCAAACGCCACCTTCATACTGAGTTTTAGCCTTCACTTCTGTGAGAATCAGGTGCTTGAACTCTTCTCCTGAATCTATGTTCCTCCAAGGCTGGTCTGCTGCAATAGCCTTAAACTTTGAAGTCCTGTGTAGTTTTCAGTGTAGTGTTCATTTGAAGGCTTTCTCCTCAGAAATACTAGGTCAGTAGTCTCTTAAATTAATCCACAGTGTTAGCATAGACTTAGGCGTGACTGTATATCTATCCTGTATATTTTTCCAAAAGGAAGCTTGATGGGATTACAGATCTTGAATGGACTTACATAAATGATTGCATGCCTTGGGTTAGTAAGAAATAAATGAATAAGATTCTTAAAGAAAATGGCCAAGAAGAAATTACTCCATTTGTAATGCAGACTCTGTAGGAGCCTGCAAGATAAGTTTCTGGACTGAAAAACCTCAGCTGTTGAGAGACCTCCGTCTCTTAGCATCCTGTTTTTTGAGATTATGTTTTCTGTGGCTAGTTTTTAGGTTTTGACCAAAGGTAAGCTTTCAACATGCTGCAAATCTCAAAAAAGGAAAAGTGATGATCCATTTCATTACTTTTTTTACTTCTTCCCTTGCAAAGCAAACTGCATATAATATATTAGGAGAACATTATGGGAGCATGCTTTCCAGAATGTGATCAAGAAATCATAAAGTTTTAAAGTTTGTGCAGCTTGAATCTTGATCTCTTGTATATGCCTTGGGTTGCATTTAATTACTAAACATAATCTTTTTATAATAAAACACTATGAAACACATTTTCCTGTAGATTGTATTTTTAGTGTGTAGCACAGTGGGCCAGCCAAGTGAAAGTGCACTGCAGAACTAACTGGCAGAGCCTATTTCGAACAATGTAACATAGGGAGTGGAAAGCTTATTAGCATTTATAAACCAGTTATATTCCCAGTGGGAAGAATCATTGCTGCTTGTTAGAAAGAGATAAATCGAGGCGAGTGGTTGAAAGAGGAAGGTTCTTGCAGAATTAATCCGTGGAAAAGCTGCACTGTCGTTCTGCTGATTCAGTCTGGGTTACTACCTATTTCCAATACCTCATTTAGTAACACAATTTTGTCTTAAAAATATTGTCACTAAGTAACCGTATAGTATAATGCATGTGCAGCGTGGGCAGGTACAACAGCATATACAATTTTACATGGTGACATTTTCTCACCGAGTAGTTTTTCCAACTTTAATAGAGCGTTTGTATTAAAATGCTAAATAAACCAAGAGGTATTCGAGAGCAAATACTGTGAAGTGTGCTTAAGGGTTATAGGATATTTTAAAACTACTTACGAGACACACCTGGAGTTTTTCATGCATTACAAAAGTATTGGAAACTCTTCTTCCTTCCCATGCGGCCAGATTCCTGAGGTGCATCTCACAGTAACCTGGGACGTAGCAGATACGTGCTGCCGCTGCTCAGGGAAGGCTCGCAGTTGGAAGTGTCATGGAGTGTATGCTGTAAGATAACTTAGTGAGTTGTAGCCTGATACCTTACTGTTTGAAAAGATTCATCTGGACCCTAAAGGGGTGTTTTTCTGGGTACAAGTGGCTTACGTTGTGGAGTTGGAATCTCATCTGTTTGTACCACCCATCCAGGTGTACTGAATACCATCAGCCTGGCTGTGCTCACCTCATATAACTAAACTGTAACCTGACTTAAGTGATGGGAAATACTGTATGGGCTAGAGAACAGACCCAGATAATACTGCTGAGATACTGGTCTGCTCAATTCACTTACACCTGAATTTTTGTAGTTTAGCTTTTTTTGAGAATTGCAGGCACCCCTTCAGCAAGCTTTTCTTCCTGTCAAGGTTTTGCCTTCATAAATGGGGGCAACCAAACCCTTCCAAATTCAGGGTTTGGTTTTGTTTTGCCTTTTTTCTGTGATCTAATGTAAGCAAGAAAGGAACGGTTTTGGTTCCTTGCCTCTTCCCTTGCAGTCTTCTCAAAAGAAACAGTGTAATACTCATTTGGGTAGCTCCTGTCTCCTCTTTATCGATGGCTGCCTTAGGTTTGACCTTCAAGATTAGTTTCTTCCCTTCTTTATAAGACATAATAATGCAAAACCTCCAAGGGCTTGGGTTTGGGGCGGGGGGGGTGTGGTATTCAGGTGTATTGTCCTTATTGTTTTGAAGATGTCTTCATCTTCCTTTATGAATTTTCTCCTTAGTAATCATAAGCAGGATTTCCTCTGCTTGAAAGAAACAAAAATTTTAAAAGGTAAAAAAGGTAGTATTATACTCTTCTCTGGCAGATAATACATCATCATGATTCAGGCAAAGATCCCATTTTCCTTTTACCACCCACGCATCTAAGACAAAATGGGATAACTGGATGCCAGCTCCTTACAAAGATCTTCTAGCTACCGGAGGAGAACCGAGAGCATTTAATTGTGGAAAAGGGGGAGAGGGGACAACACAAACTCTTGTAAAATCTGTGTGTAGGGAGATCCTGTGATCAAATGTTCTGTTATTAGCCATATTTCGTAGAGGCAGAGCAGCTTTTTTACTGCTAAAGATGAAGGCAACTTTTCTTTACGTTTTTAGGTGAAGTCATAAATCGAAATAACAACTGGATTTTTGTTTTTACTTTTTCAAACTTCAAAATGAAAATAGGTTGTAAACTTTATCAGCAAAGATAATTAGACTTTAAGGAACTTGGCAAAAGTTGTGCTGAATCTCTGTAGTTTGGGTTCAAATTGAGATTGGATTTATTTTGAAAGGTACGCTAGCTTAGTGGTATGTTGTTATAGGGGTCAGTACAGGGAAAATTCTAAAAGCAATGTCAAGCAGGTGGCCAGAATAGATTATTAAAAGGTGCTTTTTGACCTTAACATTTCATTAAATGAAATAATTTCAGATTATCAGGTTATGAACTACCTCAGCCAGAGCAAGATGGTTCCAGAAGCAACTTTTTTTCATGAATGGAATTTTCTCAGTACTTTTTCTCATGAATGGAATTTTAGTATTTCCTTCTGTTCTCGAGAATTCCATAACATAATTTAGTAGTTGTTTATAAAACTTTGAGTGTATATGGTATGGTTCCTTTTATAGGAAAGTGCCTGCATATATGGTATCAATACATATGGAAGAGAATTGCCATTTTATCGGGACTGAGATTGTGGCAACAGCTGAAATGATCATCAAGTTGCATTCGTTATTGTAACAACAAACGTAGGCCTCCTTTGCTCATCTCGTTTTTAATCTGGCGAGTCTGACTTCAGTAGTAGCAGCATGAGATCTTGATGTATCTGTAAGGCAAGCCCTTGCAGAAGCCCGTCTGGCAGCTTGCTTAGTCCTTTGCCATGGTTTAGGTGACTTGGGTGGTATCTTGCCTGTTGTGTACATGAGCAGCAATCCTCTCTCCGGTTAGAGGCAGTGCACTCAAATGGTCTTACAATTTTCATCCTGACTAACAATTTCCAGAAGCTGCAGCATCTACAAATGGCTAAAAAAATTGAGAACTTAATGCTTCAGAAATTTTTTTAGTAGTATCAACTTAATTTCTTGTCTTGCTTTATTTTTGTGTGCAATTTTGGTGAGTGTAGTTGAGACGAAAAGACTTCCTCTCAGAAATATCACCCAAATTTAAAAGGGGGAAAAAAAATCCTTTTTAAGAATCATAGATTTTTAACTAGAAGTCCCAAAAAGCAATTTATATCTTACCAAAACACCACTTGAGTGGCAAAATACCATTTGATCGGCCTCGAAGGCCAAAGCCCTGTTGATTTAAGTACTTTCTACAGAACTAATTGCTCCCTTTTATTGGTATCGTTCTTGTTTCAGCAAGGTAGATAAATATTAGATGCCACCTGGCTTTCCTTAGTTGTCTTTTTTTCTGAATAATAGGCATTCTTCCCTATTTAAAGACACTGTTCCTAAGGAAAGAAATGTAATTACACTGCTGAGATGTTCAAAGAGCTCTCCAAATTATCATTATTTTTCAGAAAATGCATTGCCTCTCTTGTCCTTGTCATCCACTGTTTAAAGAAACATGGCTGTTGCCATGCCACTGTTGCCAAGTGGTTGTAATGATGCATATAAATCTGGAAGTATTAACACTTTCAAAATCAATTAACAGTCCATCAGACCAGGACTGTTTGTATACTATGGCCAGAAAATTCCTGTGCCAGCTATCAAGACATCTGGTTACTCTTTGTAGAGCTGGCTCTTCGACCGTGTCCGGTACAGTGTTTTTTGCTAGAAGAATCTTGGCTTGGAAATAGCAAACAAGGTTAGAAGGGTGGGAGAGGAAAATATGCTTAGTCTCTTCTCTGAAGAGCTCGGGTTCATCTGTGTTGAAGCAATTGAATTAATTTGGTTCTGGATAAGTTGGGTTTTCTTTTTTTTTTTTTTTTTTTAAATACTCTAGAATATATATCCTTATGGGTTACAGTTGTTCCTATCTCCTTATTCTGGGACTATCACCCAATGTGATTTGAGTAAACGTAAAGGCTGTGCAGTAGCCTCTTGATTGTAAGTTTTGCCTCTGATCAGCTATGCAGATCAGGAAATCCCTCTGAAGGTTTTTATGTTAACGTAGTTCTTTCTTTTAGGGGAGTCAAGAGGTTAGGAAACCTGGCAGGAAATTTTCTAACCTTTCTGACTTTCATTAACAGTTTTCAAACCTGAGGAGCTGCGCCAGGCTCTCATGCCTACCCTTGAAGCTTTGTACCGGCAAGACCCAGAGTCTCTACCTTTTAGACAGCCTGTGGATCCCCAGCTTTTAGGGATTCCGGTGAGTTGGCATTAAAAAAAAAAAAAATGTTTTTGTGTTTTGTCTTTGTTCATATAAACATTTCATCTTTACTGTACAACCTGGTGTGAACAGTTGACATCTTAAAAATAAAGGGTTTTGTGTGTGTTTGAAGGACTACTTCGACATTGTGAAGAATCCTATGGATCTTTCAACCATTAAACGTAAATTGGATACTGGGCAGTACCAAGAACCCTGGCAATACGTGGACGATGTTTGGCTAATGTTTAACAATGCCTGGCTTTACAATCGCAAGACTTCCAGGGTCTATAAGTTTTGCACTAAACTTGCAGAGGTGTTTGAACAAGAAATTGATCCTGTTATGCAATCACTTGGCTACTGTTGTGGGCGCAAGGTACGTATTCCAGGAATGAAGTTGTGTTCTTCCAAAGAGCTTAGCTTGATTAATCAGATAAAACATATGCTTTGTATACTCTTTTTTTAAAAATTTAAGTATTGAATGAAAGGGTTGGTAGAAGTTTATTATAAGCATGCTAAGAGCTAAAAAAGGTAGATAGCGTCCTTCTTGCTGCTATTCTATTATTACTGTTGTGTTTTTCTCCCTCAGAGAACACATTTTTTGGTCATAAGCAATATTAAAATGCTTTGCTTGTTTCCCATGTCCATTGCAATAAAGTAGGTGGTTAGAGGGTCAGCTATTCAGCTTATATAGTTAATAATTGTAATTAAATTAAGAGAGCTGTGCTAATATATTTACAATAGCTTGGAAAAGTTTGATAAACATAACAATGTATTGTGATATCCATTAGCGTCAGGTCTGCCTAATAGATACTCGATTAACATAAGATTACGTTTTAAAGCTTCTTTTCTCACCGTTGTTTTGCAGTATGAGTTTTCTCCACAGACCTTGTGCTGCTACGGCAAGCAGTTGTGTACTATTCCTCGTGATGCTGCCTACTACAGTTACCAGAATAGGTAAGTCCTTGACTTTGTTTTTTTTTCCTTATTCAGGAAGTGAGATCCTTTGAGTTCTCTGCACATACGGAGGAGGAGGATTATTAACTTTTTCTTTCCTTTGTCAGCTAAGTCAGGAAAAAGTTATTTTTATATCTTTGCATGCTGTCCTTTTCCAGGCGACCCTTTAGTTTCCTGTACTGCAGCTTGATACACACTGTACTTAAGTGCTTGCTATTAGCTAGGCTGCACCACGCACCACTTAAGTGGAAGTGAAGTTGTCTATGTTTTCCACAAAATGAGTAGCAGGGCTTGCTGGAGGCAGAAGGGCAGAACTGCAAAAAGGCACTGAGAAATCATGTTACCTTGTTCTAGGAGAATTGTAGTAATATGCGGGTTTGTTTTCAAATTAGTGTCAGAATTTGCAAAGTAAAGGGTACAGTGATTGATTGCAAGACTGACGTTTTCTATTCCTAGTTAGTACTTAGTTCTATTTAAATTAGCTTTGAATTAGCATTGAAAACTACCCAGAGACTCCATGAGAAGCTATGAAAACAATAAGCTTCTGTTATTTTTTAATTAATATTAGGATTTGGTGTTTGTATGGTTACTAAGCAATTGTTACATTATAATACTAATTTTCCATTTAATGCTGAAATCAACAGTGCTATAATAACAAAGCAAACTTAGAACTTGGCTTTGGTTTTGGTTTCTTAGATGTTTGTCCCCCCCTCCAAAAAAATGCAAAACATAAATGGGCTAAGACACAAACTTCCTTTTCCCTGTTTAAAACAAAGTTATGAATTGCTTTGCAGAGGCTTGGCAGTCTATAAGTCTTGCCAACTTCGAAGTGCACAGCAGGCTGTTGTCTAACTGAAGTTACAGAACTAATTCAAACAGTCGGTGCTTGCATTTAGTCTCTCTTAGGGCGATCCGTACATCACCAAACATGCTGTAAGATGGTGGAAGACTGTTGTGTACCACCTAGCTGAAGCAGCACCGTGTGGGAGACGAAAACGTGTCATTTTACATTGTATGTTGGGTCTTAGGTGGCCTTTGTGAGGCAGATAGTATTGGTGCGGAGAAATGTAAATTCATGAGCTCTCATAAAAGGTTTTATACAGCCGCTGTGAACTCTGAAGAAAGTCAGTCTGAGAGAAATAAAGCAATTAAAATGCATTTAAAGACATACGACTTCAGTACTGGAAGTGGGGGAAAAAATAACCCTTAAATACCAACTCTGCATGGTAGAATTTCAAGTACTTTTCATATTATGCATCCAGGTAGTACTGTATTTGAAGAGAGTAGCAACTTCAAAAATACTTGAGGAAGGGGTCATTTTTCTTTCAGTTATACCTTTCCTATTTAAGTTAGTATTAAATCATTTGGATTCCTTGGTGGAGGCAATGTTGGTTGCTAGCAAGAAATACAGGGTTGGCGGGGCAGCGGTTCCTCTGGACTTGGTGATGCAGTACTTCAATTTCTTACCTGTTATAAATCTGATAGTCCGTTTACATGGAGTTTAGTCTAAAAGGGTAGTAATAAAAGGAAGGTGATTTGTCTAAGTGTCAGTAGGCCAGTAGCAGAACAGAAGTAGGTGTAGATTTCTGTTCATCCGGATGTCTTGAGAAAGGGTTGGGGTTTTGGGATTTGGGGTGGTTTTGAGTTTGGGGGGGATGAGGTTTTCTATTTCAGTCCAACTAAATCGAGCAATGAATGGTTTTTTGGGTTAGGTTTTTTAACAGAATATTTCTAAAGATCAATCACCATATTTTTAAGTGTGCATTTGGACTATCAGATCATAGAAAGCCTCTTATTCATCAGCTGCATTGCTCTAAAACAATCAAATTAACTGTTTTGTGTGACAGTGATCTCAAATCTTTAGATTTTTCTTAACCAAGCAGCAAATTAGTGAAAAACAAATTCTGTGGTTCCAGCAGACCTTTAATTGGTCAAATGTTCTTGACTTTTTCCATTTACGGAACAGACAAAATTGGATGTACTTGAAGTCCAGCGTATTGCATAACTAAATTACAACTAAGAATATTTAGGCGCCATTGAATAAATGAACTCTGGCACTACAGTTCAATGATTAAAAGTTAATTATTTGGTATAGAACTGTTTGGCTTCCATAATAAGGCAGAAGTTTAGGTTAAAGTAAGTGTTCAGAAAATATACTTCATGTGTAAATATCCAGTTGAGAAAACTGGTTGATATTTCTTATCAGTACTAGCATCCATTACTAGTTTAGAATTTCCTTTGAATGCACTTAACTACAGTTGGAAATTCACCTCTTAATGCATAGATTGAGCATTTTCTGGACTTTGGTATTGAACTATAATGTTACTCTTTGATAAACGGGAATCAGTCACCTGAACAGTCTGCATTTGAAAAGCTTTTAACTTTTAATATGTTGCAATAAGTACATCCTTTGGATTTTCTATGACTGTTACAACTAGAATATTGTATGCTTTCTGTGGGTTTTGTTGAATATTTGTAGTGACATGCAAAAGTCAGTGAATTACAAGCAAGTCTCTGTTTCTGAGGGTCCATATTCATAATAAGTTACAGCTATTGTTTCACCTTGGTTATTTTATGGACAAATGTCCACGATCTTTAGGTGATTCATTTTCACTATATTTCAATTTTCATTTCCTCATTTTAATATCATGGATTAAGGCTTGACTCTTGCTAGCGTTAGGCTTCGGTTCTGCAGCGTGTGAAATCCTGCGCTCCCCTTCGGATCCGCGGATCGCTGGAGCACGTGCTTAGCACGCTACCTGCGAGACTGAGCTTCCCGCAGCTGCAGCGTGAGCAGAAGGTGAAATATCTGTGCTGGTGGAGCTAGTTAGATTTCTGCGGTGTAACTTAAATCAAATATCGAAGGCAGCCTCATTGCTCAGTTTCATGAGTGCTTTGAAAGCCCAGAAATTATTCTGAAAATGGATCAGAATTAACCTTGTCTGGGATTGTTTAAATGTAGCAAAGTATTAAGAGGAGCCTCAACCATGGATTTTTCTTGCTACACGCCCCTGTGTTTGGGTCCTCCTGTGTTTCAGTCCTTCCCAATCTGCCTCTTAAAATGAGCAACCTTGTTAGTAAGGAAAATAATTAGTGGGTTTTTTTAGTTGAAGAAAAATTTAAGGAAGCACATTATAGAAAAAAAGGACATGGACAATGTGTAAAAGGATATAAAATTCTGAACCTGTTATGTTTGGGTTTTTTGGTGTGGGTTTTTTTTTTAATTACTAGATGATACTGTGTCAATTTAGAGGTATGGGGTGAGGGGCAAGTGAAGTCAGTGTGAGTGAGATGTGCAGTGTCAGTATCCACTCCTGAAATTCTCTTGTGATATTACTCTGTAATAACCGTAATATATTTATCATTCCCAATGATTACAAATTAATGGAATACTTTTTTTTCTCCTGACCTTGTTCTGTCACATTATCAGCTCCAAAAGCCTTGGTTTTCCTTGGGAGGGTGATGTGTTTAATTCTAGTTGAGCTGACCCAGGAGAAGTCACTTGCAGTTTAACTTGTGGTAGGCTGGCAAGCTGCCCTCTGGGCAGGGAGCATGGCATTTTAGCTCACGTGGTCGCTATCGAAGTTGCAGCTGTCCTGCTGGCAGGATGATTACGTGGATATCTCAGTACGGGCTATATTAGCTAGAATAAAACACACCTTTTTCCTCTTTGTGTCAGTCCCACAGTAGAGGGGAGTATTCAGTGTGCTGCTGCATTTAAGTGGTTCTTGGCTAGCAGAGTAGCTCTTGAAGCCTGAGCCAGCTGGCAGTTTGCAGAAGTTTTCAGGCTCTTGTAAATTATGCTATGGTAACACGGACCTGGCTCCAGCCTGGGGAGGACGCAGATTGCTCTGCAGAACGTCTTTCCCTGATTCATCGGGCGCTGCTGAAAGACCCGCTCCCGCTTGCTTGCGCTGTGTTTCACATATAGAAAACGTGTAGTGGAGACGCAATGGCCAGAGTGTCGCAGGAGGCAATTCTGATCCATACATTTCAATAGGTGCCTATAAATGGCTTTTGTTGTCTCCAGGAAAGCACAGCCTTGGAGATCAGTCACCTGGATTACAGTAGTTTTAAGTGTATGAGTATGTATTTGAAGGGGGAAGCTGCCATATTTATTAATCTCCATCCCTTAAGTTGTTGGTTCATTGTGACATTGAGTCTCGTTTGATGCCTTTATACTTACCATTCTTACGGTTCTAGTGTTTGAGTACTAAAACTGCGTTTTACTGTGCTGCCATTGCTGCTTACTCTCTCACTCTTGATCCTTCATAAAGCTCCTTTATTTTGATGATCCTTTGTGGCCTTCCTGCATTTTACAGCTGTGGCCTCTCTTTGTTACCTTTGTTCATGTGTGAATTCATATCCTTTCCAAACATTTAGCCTCCTTTTTTTTTTTTTTTTTAATGACCCTTGACAACTTTGGTTCCAGTTCATCTGAAACAAACAAACCAACCACAAAAAAAAAACCCCAAAAATCTGTGTAACTTAGAATTTTTTTTTTTTTTTTTTTCAAATGCAGATTGTATTTTCATGGAGTTGTATTCCAATTTACTCAGCTTGGTTTGTTAAACTGCAGTATTGGTTTTGCTGAGTATAACTTGGATTGGCTCTTGGTCTGATGACCAGAAATTGTACCTAGCCTCATACTCAATTTGTAAAGCTTAATTCCACATCTTTAATGTACCTGATAAATATATTGTATGTATGTACAATATTTAATGTTGTTCACATATATACATATATTGTACTTACAGATAAATGGCTGGAAACTCTGACCCATAATTGCATTTCTGTTAAATGTTTGTCTAGAGTATGGATTTGGTTTCATTTATATTAAATAATATTAGCTGAGCAATTGGTCACATTTAATCTTATAGTCAAATAACTTTTGAATTTAATATTTTTATAGGTTTTTTCAATACCAAATGTTTCTGCTTTTACAGTTTTTGCTGACAATCAGTAAATGCTTTCAGCATATTTTCTAATCACTTAAATCTGTAATAAATGTGTTCTTGAAGCCTTTTGACAGGCTGTTTTTTTAACCAAAGGAAACTCGATCAGTCGCAAGAATTTTTTCCTAAGTAATGCAAATCAAATCCAAATTCTTAAATTTGAAGCCTGTACAAACGTAGCGCTTGGTAGCTACTTCATTAATCCTCCCCAAATTTTGAATTTGACGCCCGACGACTTGTTAGTAATGTATAAAATGAGACCGAATGCTAATCTGTGCTTTGCCTTGGCTTTCTGCTCTGTGTTGTCTTGGTGTTTGCGTCTTACCTCTTACGTCTGTGCTGTTTGTTCCCTCCCCTGTTCTCTAATCCTGCCCTCCCCTCCCCTCTGTTCCTCCTCATTGTCCTCACTGACCCATCAATCAACCAACAACGCCCCCCCTTTCGTCGTGGTGATCTGCCCTGCTCTGGTTGGTGGCTCCGTGCTCGGGTGGCTGTATGTTGTGCTGGACCAGTTCACCCAAATATGGCCTTCTTGCTGACAGGTATCACTTCTGTGAGAAGTGTTTCACTGAAATCCAGGGGGAGAATGTCACCCTGGGTGATGACCCTTCCCAGCCTCAAACGTAAGTCTCTTCCTTTCTTCTCTCTTTGTAAACGGGAGGGACGACCTGTAGTCCTGATGCGATAGTAAAACCCTGTGGCCGGTGGTGGTGTTCGTGGGGAAGTGCCTACTTTCTTACTAATAGGAGATTTTTTACAGTAGCAGATGATTAACAGTTGTTACTGTGTTGGGTCTGTTAGTCTGCCCAGCAGTGTCGCTCGTGTCCGGCTGCGCCCCTGGAGAGCTGCCGTAGACTGGTTGCAGGGGGTGGCAGACACTAGATAACGTGGTCGGAGCGGGGGGAATGGAAGCTGTGTCAATAAATGCCACTAATCCATTACCTTTTCAAACGAAAGACTTTGGCTAATCCTGATATCTATCTCACCTTTGGAAGTGCAGCTTTTGTTTATGAAACCAATGGCTTGTCTTTAACCTGACCAGAAAATAAGATGCTGTAAGATTTGAGGAATACAAGCTATTTTGGAAGGTGGCTGCTTTACTGACGATAGCTTCCCGTGTTCTTTATGACTTTAAATTCATGTGTATACTTGGGTATCTCTTATTTTGCTTTTAATTTACACAGGAAGTAAAACAGGAAAAATATTTTCTGTAGCTTAAAATAGAATAAACTGAACTGCTTTCTCTGAATAGAAAATAAATACTGATATGCTTTCTTCTGACTTGAGGTGTGCTCATTTGCTGCAATTCAGAAAAGCATGATACTCTCTCAGCCTCTGATATAAAGGTACTACTGAGTTTTTATATTAACTCTTTGTCTCTAGAACCATCTCTAAGGATCAGTTTGAAAAGAAGAAAAATGATACACTAGATCCAGAGCCGTAAGTACCAGGGCGTTGGTTTTTCTTAAGATAATCTCATCACTTTCACTTGTCTTTTAGCCAGCTCTTCAGAAATCAGGCAGTGAATAAAGTAGTCTGCCTTTTTCCCCCATCTCTGCCCAAACAGGCTGCAGAATCTTTCTCTAGAGTTCATAGCTCAACATATGAACTTGATGTCTACCATTGACATCCAAGAGGAAAATGTGAGCCTGTTTTAATGGCAGTTTCTAGTTCTGTTTGGGTAATTCCTGCAAAGCACTGCACAACTGGCTGAAAATGGCCCTCCGTCATACAGAGTCTTTCACACCAAGCCCCGAGTGCCTGTGGGGGACCTCTGCATTTTCCTCTTCTGGGTTAGCTAGACTGCTAAAACACGTTTTTCTCTTCACCTGAGTGCTTAGCCCACGGAAAGAGCCATCCTCCTTCCTTGCGTTTATTACTCTCAGGAAGTTCAGTAAAAGCCAAGTTGAACATTTCTGTAGTAGCACTGTGCTACTTTTCCTACTGTCCTTAACTAGCTGAAACAAGATTTTACCTTACTGCTTCTTTGTTCTCTGACAGTTTGATACGTAATACATTCTGATTCCTTTTCTCATATTTGCAAATACTAAATAGAGCTCCTCCCCTGACATTTAAAGGTAGACTGGTGAGATATACCCCAGTGCATTTGGCTTCATAACCAATGTTGCAGTCTTGACTGGGAAAACTTCTAACGGTTTTCCCATCCAAAAAAAGAATTTTGATATATTATTTTGGAAAAAAAAAAAAACCCTACAGCAGACCCATGCAGGCGAAGAGAAGCTAATACATGTTTTCTTGGCACAGTGATTCACTAATTACTAGTTTTTACATTTACAGTAAGTTGAGCAACCGTTTAGTCAGCTTGTGGTTGTTGCAACAATTGAAAATTAAATCTGTGGAGATATTGTTGAGCAGAATTTTTTGAAGCTGGGAAAACTCAGAACTCTGGTTAGGAAGGGATCCAGAAAAAGTTGTGCATGAAAGCCCGTTTCACATCTTTAAACTAGTACATTTTACTATCTATATCTATATCTATATATATATCTTATTTGCACATAAGATTGATAGATGTATATTTAAGCTATTCTAATGAGTATTTTTTTAAACTGACACATAAATTGGGCCTGCTGAAGTTGATTCAATTCTTAGCAGAGGGTTGGAAAGTCCTTGCTGAATTCTGGAAAATTACCTGCCTAACAACAAAAGTAATTGGCTGCTGTTTTTCCTTCTCAGGTTTGTTGACTGCAAAGAGTGTGGTCGGAAGATGCACCAGATTTGTGTATTACATTATGATATTATTTGGCCTTCAGGGTAAGTTGTTTGTTAGTTTTTTACCCCTTGTACAATAAGACCAAGGTAGTTCATATAATTAAGACTTTCTGCCTTTGCTTTTTAATATGCAGTCACTGCCTTTTAAGATCTGAGTACAAAGGACAAAGCATTTCTAAATAAAATACATCGTTTGGTGTTTGGGGTCTCATTTCAGTATATTCAGATGAAAATGCGCATGAAACCAACTTGTTCATATACGCAGATTTCTGTGGTTTCTTTCTAACTACTAAACAATGGAAGCTGGTTGGAGGTAAATTTGTATACTACAGAACACAAATGCAGGTGTAACTGCTTGGCAGAATTAAACCAGCTTATAAAGGCTTTAAGTCCCTTGAAAACGGAGAGATACAAGCTGTTCAAATCCAGGGAAAAATATATTGTACTCTGACATTTAAATTATGGGTTCAAACATTGGATTTAAGCTAGCCTATAATGGGTTTATACTAAGTTTTTGGCAATTTTTTTTTCTCAATAGGTTTGTCTGTGATAATTGTCTGAAGAAAACTGGCAGAACACGCAAAGAAAACAAATTCAGTGCTAAAAGTGAGTTTGATATTTCTATTTTCATCTTCTGCTTGCCACCCCTAATAGCTTTTTGATTGAGACTTTCTGTTGTCGTGATAGACAGTACAGGAACATTTGCAAAATGGTGAGTAGTGTAGCCCAAGGCTTTAGTAGCTGTCAGAATTTTAATCAACGTTTTAAAAACCTGCTCTTTATATGTTTGTGGTCAGTCTTAATGCTGCTTGAGGTATTTGGCATCTATGTCCTTATTCTTCTAAGATTCAAAAAAATAAAAAAGAGGGGGAAACAGAACAGGAGAAACATAAGGCTGCGTGCACTTTACTGGCTATATTTAGACATGTTTCCATGTAACGTTGAAACTGTAGTAAATTACTGTCACCTCTGTGCCCTTCAAATAACATGTAGTAACAAGTTGTACTGCATTTCAGGTGTACTGTGGTAGTGCCAAGTACTAACGTATTTGAAGAGCTTTTCTTGCTTCGAGTGCACTGTGGTGTAAGAACTGTCTGCTGGAATAAGTAACCAATTGTACTACAGGTCTAGATTTCCTTGGGAGTAACCATTGTCATAATCTTGTTGAAATGTGCACTAAAGAGAGTGCCAAAAGCTGCCAGGTCAAGTTGTCTCAATCTCCTTAGTAATCCTTACACAGGCGTTCTTTGCATGCATTTAATATCAGAGAATATAATTTGATAACTTCTACTCATAGACATTTTGGGGGAAGGGGGAGAGTAGGGGCTAGCATCGGAAATGCGATGTCAGTGGCATAGAGTAGAAAAATAAAGTGAGTGTAGAAACTGAGAGGGTGATTCAGACACTTGAACAGCTAGAACTTGCAGGTACACTTGATTCTTCCCTTGTTCTTCTTTGGTCCTTGGAAGTTCTAGGCATCACCTTGTCATACTGTGACTTTGCAAGCCTGAATCTTCCCAATTGTAATAAAGGAGTGGTTTTGCATTAAATGTAACTTCTTGATAACTTCATGTGTGGTTGATTGCATAATAGGAGATAATTTGGAGATGATAATGCTGTATGAGACATATTAGGTTACAGTAGTCAAAACGGTCTCTGGAGTAACCTGACGCATGCAAGATAGTATTGTTAAAAAGATTAAAATTAGTCTCATTAAAGACAGATTAAAATTGTAACAGAGCATTAATAAAATGATGAAATAAAAATGTAGTTTTAGATAACCATTTTAAATAGATGTCGCTTCTATTATATGCTGCCTTTACAGCATATATTGATGTAAATTTTCTTAAATAAGTATGCGATTCCTTGGATGTCTGCAGTTGTTCTGTGGTGTTGCTTAAAGTTTGAGTAATCAGCATTTAGTTTAAGGTAACCATTCTGTTCTTTGGGGATCTGGACAGGGAAATAACAATGCTTTTTTCTCTTCCATTGTTCTCCTTTTCCTTCTCCTTTCCCTGCTGTTTGGCTATCTTGTTTTCTTTTTCCCATGATGATTTGAGTCCTGCCGCCAGCTGTAATCCACTGGTGGGCTCAGCTCTTGAGATCAGTTTTCTTTAACAGTGCTTGAGTGGAAACACAAGAACAGGGAAGGAAAGCCTGCTCTTCTTGTCAAAACCTTGGTCTTACTACTGACCTAAAAACAAACACGAGCAATGAAAGTTTGAAACATCAACCTGTTTCCTCTCCTTTCCCCCTCCCTCCCCATAAAAACCTTTACTTACTGAATTGCCATCAGTATTTCTATACCCTCTCACGCATGCTGGCACAACTGCTAATAATCAAGATAGCATGTCCCTCAGCTGCAAGCTATTGTTCAGCTGTTATGGTAACATTCATATTCCTAATGTATATTAAGTAAAATTGGTTATCTTAACAACATCACAAGTAAGTTGCATGAAGCTGACTGACAGCATGCCAAATATAACCTATAAACCAGTGTACAGCTGGATTATGCTGTGAAATTCCTAACTTTTGAAGTATTTTTCATACTAAGAAAATCCACAAGTATTACTTAACCAGTAGCTGATCCAGAGACGTTCAAAGACAAAAGATATCCTGACAAATAAGTCACCCGAAGTAGTTTCCTGACAAAAAGTCACAGTAAGCCAGAAGTCTGACTTTCTTCCTATCTGTCTGATTACTCATCCAGTAACAAATGTCTGGCCATTGCTGCTGCAACAAAGCTTCTGTACTCAAGCGGCCTGAAAGCCACTATGTTGTTACCGGTTTGGATGCCTTTTTTCAAGTTTGCACTGCAGTTTTCATTGAGACCTGAGCTTTTATTGGAAGTACATACATTAGAGGTGTCCAAGAACCAAAATCCGGTTGCTTTCTAGAAGAATTTGCACGTCCTAATATGTCAAATGATGCGGCTTTTAGATCCTTCCCTTACGGTGCATGCAATCTTAATGCTGCCTATTTCTTTTATCTTCTTATTTGGTCTTTGTTTTGTTTTTCAAGTCTTAATGCATTGCAGCATAAGGAAGGAAGCAGATATCCTTTGGTTGCTTAGCATTGGAAAGATGATAAAATGAAAACACAACAAGACAGTAGAGTTAACTAAAATGGCTTTCTAAAAATGTACCAACTCATCAGTTGAAATGAGCTGTTTCTTTTTTTTCTGGTTGTCTTTGGAGAACTCAACAAAACTCAATAATTTCTTCAGAAAATATTTGTGAATTTTCTTTAAAATTCTTTGAATTTCCTTTAAAATCAACCCCCTTCTATTATATATGGAAAGCTCAATGTATTGTATTGGCTGGGAAACACTGGAAAAGGCCACTGTGTTGGAATTGGTAAAGGGCATAGTGTATTTTTACTTTAACCTGCCTTTAAATCTAATTATTGGCTCCCAGTTAAATGATATTTAGACTGTGTTCTGCTGGTTATAACCACAGAATCTCACTGGACAAGGGGACAGACTAAAATATGTAAAACAAGAATGCCGCATTTGGCAATTTCTATAAACTGATTGTGAAATAAAATTTTAAGTATATAAATCTCTTAGTGAGATCTTCCTTTGACTGTATGTGGCTTTTTTTGCCAGTATTGGAGCCTAAAATAATTTTTAGCATAGATATTTCACTGCAGCATTCTGTACGCAAGCTCAGTAGTCGGGAAGAAGAACCAACGGTCTTGTGTCAGTAGCCAAATAACAGCTGAAAAATGAAGCAATAGAGAGCTCAAAAATTAAATGCATTCTAGTAAGATGAACATCTGTAGATTGCACCATCACTTTGGAAAAGATAGCAGACTGACCTTAAAAATGAAGTAGAAGTAGAAGTTGGTAAAATAAGTACAGTATGATAAGAGAAATAGTCTTAAATCTTCAAGTCAAAACAGTGTGCTACTTCTGTTTTCTTAATTTAAACCAAAATCTTAATTTCTGTGATTTGTTGTGGATTTATTTGAAAACCATCACATCCTGTAATACTACAAAACCAGCTATCCCCGCAAAAGCTAATTATAAATGTAAAGACCAAGAGAGGGGATCTGGACAATATGTGGACTTGAACTTTTACAGACCTCTATCACTGTGCAAGAACTATTTAAGCTTTACGTGCAGATTACTGTAACTGTTCAATCTAAAAGCTCTCTTAAAAAGAAAAGAAAAAGCGATGAAATCTCCATTGAAGTCAAAAGGCTTTTCATTTCTGTTGATTTGCTTTGCTTTGCTTGAAAAGGTGTGGCATTGAGCCAGATCTATAAAGTGATGTAATCTCTGTCAAACAGCCAGATAGTGTTTTTGTTAGGAGAAAACATTTGCAGTGTTCATAAAATAAGCCTGCAAATTTAAAAATGCTACATAAAGCCTTCTTTGGTAGTTTACTTACTAAGTAATTTTCCTACTATCGTGGTTTTAGCTTCCACGTTAGGGAATGAACACTTAAGGCTTGGGTTAAAAACATGGATGGTTTTGCTTTTTAAATTTTGGCTGCATAAATAAAAACATCAAATTTTCATATGGAGGTAAACAAAGGGAAAAAAGCTGACTTCTATACAGAGAAGCAAGCTGAAAGACCTTACAAGTGTGGTAACACTCTGAACTTAACTGTGATTTCTCCAGTATTAATGTTTTTGTTGTCGTGTTCTCCCCTTTCATTTCTAGGGCTACAGACTACGCGTTTAGGAAACCATTTGGAAGATAGAGTAAACAAATTTTTGCGGCGACAGAATCATCCTGAAGCTGGAGAGGTCTTTGTTAGAGTAGTAGCAAGTTCAGATAAGACAGTAGAAGTTAAACCAGGAATGAAATCCAGGTTAGTTCTATTAATTACAATGAAGGTGATCTTGATTTTTCTTTCTTAATTTTGAAGTCTTCCTGCATAAATACTGCAAAACTGTGCCAACTTGCACCTTAATGCCTTTGCATGTTTTTGAAACTTAGGCATGAGTAAAATTATGAAAGGTAAAAAAAAAGCAGTATGCAGTAAATGGACTGGGAGGAGGTGACAATTGTATTTTTGACTGTTTGGGGGCGGGTAGCAGGGACATCCTGGGTTTTGTTAGTAATACAAAGTCATAGTATTATAAATCTTGAGAGGGAGTCTGGCCACATTGTGGTTAGCATTACAGAATTCATAGTTTAGTTTGGAACAGTTGCTGAGGTTCTGTTCCTTACTGTTCCTTCATTTTGTTGTGTTTTTATAAATACTTTAGCTTTCAGAAGTTATGTTTAATTTGCTTCATCATAAATGAAAAGCTTAAAAGGTTTATTCTATGAAGTATTTTGGGTTTAATTCATAAAGACAGTGTTTATGTGACAGCACTTCACTGTAATGCATTAGGTTTTCTAATCTGCAACATATTTAAAGGCTTGCGGTTTCTGAGGATGCTCTTGTACTCAATGCTTGCCTGCTCAGTCATACGTTAACTATATGGAAACTGTCTTTCCGTGAGTTTTCTAGTAACAGACCTTGCATTGACAGGACTCCCTGTTTTAATGCAGCTCTGATCTGACCCTATTTAACATCTGCATAAATGTTTCTAATGAGTTGAAAATAAGCTTAAAAAGAATTTCCTCATTCTAGTAGGACACTGGTTTAATAATTGGCTTTTTGTTGGTTTTGTTTTTGTTTTTCCTGCTCCTTCCTACCACCCTTTCCTACAGATTTGTGGATTCTGGTGAGATGTCAGAATCTTTCCCTTACCGTACCAAAGCTCTGTTTGCATTTGAGGAGATAGACGGAGTAGATGTGTGCTTCTTTGGCATGCATGTACAGGAGTATGGCTCGGATTGCCCCCCTCCTAATACAAGGTACTCTTTCATTTCTATGCCAGCGGTGCATGCACAGAGAACATCTTGCTACATTCACTGGACAATTACTCTCAAATACAGACGATTGGGAGATATGTTTAAATTCTGTGGCACAAATAAGTCCTACTGTAGGACTGCAGATGATTTTGAAGGGGAAAACAAATATCACAACAAAAGTGATAGTTTTTTGTGTTCTGTATTTAATTTTGCTTCTCGATGTATATTCTTGCTGTCTAAAAAAAATGGTATCCATCTTTTGGTTTTGAGAACTGTTTATACCAAATTAGGATGCTTAAGTCTGCATTAAAATAATGTCATCATTAATTTTTCTTTGTTCAGTATGGCTGTATATGTATCTAGTATAAAAGTCAGTTCTCAGTAGACGAAACAGACATTCAGCCATAGGTGATTTTCTGTCATTCTTCTCTCATTACTATAGGCGTGTGTACATATCATATCTGGATAGTATTCATTTCTTCCGCCCCCGTTGTCTCCGAACTGCAGTTTATCATGAAATCCTCATCGGATATTTGGAGTACGTGAAAAAACTTGGGTAAGTGAGATATTTGTAAAGAAAGAAATCTTTTTTTTTTTAGCTTTTTTTTATCCAGGATGCCAAGTAGCTTTTTACTTAGGATAGTCTCTCTTTCCTTCTGCCCTCTCTGAGATATGTGGAACACATGCCTCTTCTGCAGTGGAGAGAGAAATTTGGGTTTTATCACTAAGGTGGTTTTTCCGTTGTTAGGATTCTTAAACTGACAGCATATCGTTCTTTTTATCAGAGGTTCACTTGATGTTTAAGCTTCATTATTATATCCCAGACCTTTTCTCATATCTTGTATAAATGGAGGTTATTGCCTCAGCATCTTTGTTACAAAGAAGAAAGAAAAGAAGGTGAAGAAAAAAAAAGCCAGAGGTCTGAATTTATACGTCAGCTTGTCTGAGTTAATTTTAAGATGGTAGTCAAAATGGTTAAAATTTTTTCTTGTGTGTGAAACGCAGGTATGTGACAGGACACATCTGGGCCTGTCCCCCAAGTGAAGGAGATGACTATATTTTTCATTGCCATCCGCCTGATCAGAAAATACCCAAACCCAAACGTTTGCAAGAATGGTATAAGAAGATGCTGGATAAAGCATTTGCTGAGAGAATCATTCATGACTACAAGGTTTGCTACTGTTTACTTCCTGTATTAATTTTTATGGGCTTTTCATTTGAAGGTAGCTAATATTGTTTCATAATGCATGAAACTGTGGTAGTGTTGTACAAGTGTTTTTATTCTCAGCTAGCGTCTTCATTTACTTAGATTTTTCTTGGAGGTTCTGCGTTTCAGACTGAACATGCCTAAGGTTTGGTTTCTGCATTAAGAGAAGTGAGCAAGAGCCTGCCTTTGCATACTTGTCTTTCACTGCAATCTTCTAGGCAAGGAAGTATATAGCTTGTTAAGGTTTACAGAAGTTGTTTGCTTCTGGTGATTCTGGAGGATCAGGTGGAATACTGGACCCCACTAATGTGAAATAAAAAAAACTGCTTATGAAACAGCTTCTTCACTTGAAGAGAAAAAGGTTGATTTTCGTAATCGGAGAGTATCACACATGTACCCAAGGAAATAAGTTAAAGATGGCAAAGGTAGCATTTGCCACTCCTTACGTGCTAAAATTTACAAGAATTTCTTAATGGTAGTGACAGTGCTGGAAAAAATTGATGTTTTGATTGCAAGTGACAGTTACTAAATGTGTGGAATAGAACAGCATATAGCAAGCCTTGTCATCTGATCCGGCGTAGCAAAGAGCTAGAAAATCTGTCTCTCTCCTAATAAGGTGGTCTTGAAATGAATCCGAAGAAGAAAATTGGCTAGTCTTGTATGTGCTTGTTAAACGCACTGCACTTATACAGTTGTTCTGGAGGTGTTTTTTTTGAAGTACCTGTTCCTTTTCAGAATACCTATTCCTCTCAGTGGTCCCCAGTCTTTCTGGCCGGGTGGTCCACAGAGCTTCAGCCAGCGGTCAGTGAAGGACACAGGCTGCGCGCAGTCCCCCTACCACAACCAGACTTTAATATTCCTGTGTGTAGTAGTTGGCCGGTGCATTCAGCAATTCTTCCTGGAGTTATCAGGCTTGTGGCACATATGATGCACAGCCCAGATGCATGCATTGAAGTGCTTACGCGCTTTCAAATTTGTAAGGGAAAGGGCTGGATGAGACGCACTTGCTGTCACTAGAACAGTTTCTGCTCTTGTCCAGAGCAGTGCAGGAAAAGCGAAGTTGTGTAGGCTTCATTTTTAATTGGCGTAGTTATCAGGGAGGGGTTTGTCATGTTTTCCAGCGGTATCTTAGTCTCTCCCATCACATCAGGAGAAAGACAGCTGCTGAGGCTCTCCTGAAGGGAAAGGGCTGGATGAGACGCACTTGCTGTCACTAGAACAGTTTCTGCTCTTGTCCAGAGCAGTGCAGGAAAAGCGAAGTTGTGTAGGCTTCATTTTTAATTGGCGTAGTTATCAGGGAGGGGTTTGTCATGTTTTCCAGCGGTATCTTAGTCTCTCCCATCACATCAGGAGAAAGACAGCTGCTGAGGCTCTCCTGAACCTACCTGAGATGAAACGGGGAGCGGGCTGTTATCAATATTGCCAGGCCAGTTCTTCGTGCTGTACCCAGAAAAGGCGGCCTGCCAGGAGCAGGCCGTGGGCTGCAAGTGAGGCACAGCTGTTCAGTGGATCCTGTCTCTGGTTCTCCTCTCTATCCTAAGTGGTCTTCATTTATTTATTCTTGGTATTGTGTGATACGCTTAACAGGACATCTTCAAACAAGCAACTGAGGACAGGCTGACAAGTGCCAAGGAGCTGCCTTACTTTGAAGGTGATTTCTGGCCCAATGTGCTGGAAGAAAGCATTAAGGAGCTGGAGCAGGAGGAGGAGGAAAGGAAGAAGGAAGAAAGCACTGCAGCTAGTGAAACAACAGAGGTGAGTTAACTTTATATGCTGTATTTGCTTCTGGCTCACAAAGCTGACAATTAACACTTTAATAAATTAGAGAGTTCACATCCAGTAAATTAGAAAAGGTCATTCACATCAGATGTTACATCAGGGTTCCCTTTATCTGCATTTCTGGTTTTCTTCTTGGATAACAAATATACTGATGGCTTGTTATTTTTTTTAACAGAATCAGAAGTCAGTTATGTCAGTTCAGCATCTCTGTTCTCAGAGAATGTGTTAAGCTACTTTTGGATTGCATCATGACTGCTACATTTGCTTGCAGTCATTTGGCTGAGCTTCTGGTTCGCACCTTTGCAAATCACCATCGGTATTTGTATTTTGAAAGATGCTGTATTTTTCAAAGCTGAATTAAATTTTGCTGTTATTTAAGCAAAATTACTTGTAGTCATTTGCAACAGTAGGGGGCTGAAATTTAAAAGTATTTGTTGCAAGCTTTGCATTGGTGTGAAACGTTGATCCTGATGGTGGTGTTCCTTCACCAGCATTCTCTCTTTGTATATTAAAAAAAAACACCCTTACTTTCTCAGGGTCCTGGCCAGAATTTCATTATTCATTTTTATTTCTGTCTTGATTGTATCTGTATCCAAATGGTCTTAGCACTTTTATACTATCCCTTTTACTTGCAATTTGCAGCAAGGTGTTTTGAAAATAAATAGAGCAGGAAAGTCTGAAATCTGGCAGATTGAGGTGGAACCAAAAACCTTTAACTGGGGAGGGACTGCATTCAGCTTAGATGCCGTGGCAATTCGCATACAGTATGTATTATGTGTGATTGATGTGGAGTGATAGACCTTAATCCATCAATTTCATTGTCAGAAAATTCCTTCTATTAAACCTTAGCAGCTCCTTCAAAGCTAATACAGTTTGTTGCTATGTTTTTTATGGAACTATGAAGTTAATAGTTTTCACCTTGTTCCTTCTGAATGTAACTTTTAATATTGAAATATCTCAACAAACATAGCAGTATAAAAGTAACTGAAAAACAAGGCTTGGAATTCAAGTTGCAGTCCTCTTTCGCTAACAGTATCGCTTTCAATAAATCATAGCATGCCCTTCTGGTGAAAAACGCCAGTGTAAACCTCTACATCTAAGGGGGGAAAAAGGTATTTTAAAAAGCCCAGAACAGCTAACTGTGAAACTCATACAGGTTGTCTGCCTAAAGTGAGAAGATGCAGCCTCGGCTGTTAACATCCCTATATTCTCACTTAATGCCATTGATGTTGCTTGGGGTAGCGGGGGAGCAAAATCTGCATCCAAGTTGCTGAAGATGTCATCCAAGAATGCAACAAAAAATGTAACAGTGTGGTCTTTGTCACTTGGCTCAGAAAAAGGAGTGAAATTAAAAGCATGAGAACTTCTCCAGTGCAGTCACCTAAACTGGTGTCACTTCATGGAGGAAGCTCTGCCCAGCAGTGGGGATCTCCACGTGTAGAAGCACTTGATGAATCTTTGCAATTTGCCTTGTATTGAGGTGGTACAGAATGTGTCTATCTTTTCTTAAATTCTTAGTCGTAAACTTTGTATATGTGGAGAGAGCGCTTCTTAAAGAGAGTCTAAAGAGGTGGTAAATATTTGGAAGTTCTTGAAAAAGGTTCTGAAGGGACAAGGCTCACGGAGTAACCGTGCGGTCAGCATCTCTGGCAATATGTTAAATGCTATCAAAATGAAGTAGTACCAAAACAATCTTACAACTTCTTAAAACATTTTGGAATAGCTTTGTACTATTGACCAAATATGAACTTGTTAAAGGTGGAGGAGAAAGCAAACTTAGAACTGTACTGTCAGCTAAGTTTCAATCTATTCTTCCTTTTGGTGTTTAAATTTTAAAATTTATGTTGATGTTCTAGAATGCATAGGCAAAGGAGGACATGCCCTAATTCCATCGGGGGGTAAAAAATTTTGGGGAAGCCAAGATGGGAACACACAATAGCGCATTTCTGAATATCTTCAAATCACTCAGAGTTCTGTCTGGTTTCCCATAAAATAGTATAATTTTAATTTCCAAACAGGTTTGGTCAAAAAGTCAGTAAGATTAGTTGCAGAAAAACCAAGAGTGGACAGGGAATTTCTATCTAAGCTTAATTAATAGAATGGAAGGATGGCAACAGTCTGTGTATAGAATCACTTTCTTCAGTTGGAATATTTTTGTTTTCTTTGAATAAATATGCTTGCGGATAAACCCTGTGTTTGCTTGTACATAGTGTTCATGAAACTTTCTTGCGTGTGTATATATATCAGAGTATTTCAGTAGCTTATTTTTAATATTATGATAACCAGCATTCTAGCAGTTAGAGAGGGGATTTTTACTGAGTGGTGAGCTCCTTGCTGAGGGCTTGGGTTTTTATTTTTCAAGGACATGAGAAGTCTAAAAGTTATTTCTGTTTTCACAGGTCATCTAAATAGCATCATCTGCTATTTTTTACTCTCTTTACTTACATCTAGTATTCAGTATATGGTCACTGTGGTCTATGTTGTTGTAACTCAGTCACAAGTGAAGGTTTGGAGGATTTTTTTGGAGTTGCATATGCAGCAGTAAGTCTTCAGGATGGAGAAAAATGTATTTTATTAGTTTCAAATCCTGCATGTTGTTATTTGTGTACTAGCCCTAAATTTGTTTAATAAAAACAACCAAACAAAAACCCCAAAACATTAGATCAAAGCTTAAGCAAGTATGTGAAACCCCAAATGCACAACAAAGCAAAATACTGCACTTCTGGAATTTTTTAAAGTCCATTTTATTTGTAACTGATTTTGTCATTGAATATCTATAAGATCTTGTAAAGCAAGCAGTGGAAGCTGAAGTACAGTGTTTGAGAAGGAACAAAAATAAGTGTAAGATACGAATTATTTAATGTACATGCATACTTTAAAAATCTATTTTTAAACAGCGTTTGAATTTGCCTGCCAGTTTGGCTTTTGATTTTTCCTGGAAGATAGGATATATTTAACACAGTATGGCTGATTTGCAGGCATTGGAACAAAGTTCTATTATTGATAGCAGAAGTGTTTCGTTTTCAGCTACAGTGAATGGGAGAGAGCTCTATAAAGTGTAATGTCTTTCCTATGCATTTATTGCAGGGAAGCCAGGGCGACAGCAAAAACGCCAAGAAAAAGAACAACAAAAAAACTAACAAGAATAAGAGTAGCATCAGCAGAGCTAACAAGAAGAAACCCAGCATGCCAAATGTGTCCAATGATCTGTCTCAGAAGCTGTATGCCACTATGGAGAAGCATAAAGAGGTACTGTCAAAATACACTGTGTGAAAAGAAGGTTTTATTCCTGTAAATCCAGGCATGATGATACTAAGAACTGAAAAATCAGGAGTAAAGCTTATGATTGTGCTAGAACTTTTTCTGTTGTGTAGCAACATATTGGAAGAGATTAGCCTAAACTAAGTTAATTAGATTACATTTGTAGCACACCATTACTGCAACAGAACATGAGCTTTTTCCTGCAAGATATCTAACCTCACTGATTTTTTTTTTTTCTTCTTTTCCCCCCCATTTATCTGCAGGTCTTTTTTGTGATTCATTTACATGCTGGGCCTGTAATTAACACTCTGCCTCCCATTGTGGACCCTGATCCATTACTTAGCTGTGATTTGATGGATGGGCGAGATGCCTTCCTCACCTTAGCCAGAGATAAGCACTGGGAGTTCTCCTCACTACGCCGATCCAAGTGGTCCACGCTCTGCATGCTGGTAGAACTACATACTCAAGGGCAGGATCGCTTTGTCTATACGTGCAATGAGTGCAAACATCATGTGGAAACAAGGTGGCATTGCACTGTCTGTGAGGTAGGTCTATATCACCAGAGATGTCTGCTCTCTTTTGCCCTACAGCCAGGCTTGATTTCTTATTTTGGATACTTCCCAAAGTTCCTCCAAATTAAGCCTATCCTGATAAAAAGGCTGCTAAGCCTTAAGGGAAGTTGACTACCGCACTGGGGTACCTCTTCTTCTAGAATAAGTGCCTTTAGTTTCTCGTTTCTCGATGTGGAAGATGCCAGTACTCTGGAGTGGCTACTGCTGCATCATTTATTCTGCTATGGCTCCTCTGCATAGAGGAGTTTTTAACTTAATTTTAAAGAACTTTAGGAGTGGATGGTAGGGTTTGACTGCATCAGACTAGTCCGAATCTGCAGGGCACTAGCTCATCCACAATAAATGGATGTCCACGAGAGAAGTTAGCATACCTTCTTGCAAGGTAGCTTTCGTTCCGCTTTGTACATGGTACTTCGTGTTGCAAGGAGCACAGCCAGGCGCGCGTCCAGGCTGCCGCAAAGCTGGGTGAGGAGGCTGCCGCAGCTCTTCATCATTGTCTCTTCGGCCCAGCATTAGAGGTTGCCTGCCCTTCAGATCAGCCCAAATAATTGCTTCCTAACTTGGCTCAATGCTTTTAATGACTAGTCCTTTTACAGCATAGATCACTTCCACTGAACTGTTAGAGAATAGTTATGCATGGAGTTATACTGGTGGACTTGAGGAGAAGGTGGCCACTACAGGGCTTGTGATGACCTCTGGCTGTAGCTGAACAAAAAAAAAAATTTGAATAAGTGCAGCCTAGTTTTTACACTGCAAGTTATTGCCAGGTTTGTAGTGGAAGAGTCTTAATTAATCCCTCTGAGGAAAGCATTGAACAGGGCTTCTTGAGGCAAGACTGCAGGAAATGGATGGTACACACTAGGGGAATTACGTGGTGGAAGGAGGTACGGCCTTTAGGTTTCTTCTGGGTACTTCTGTATAAGGGAGTGCCCTTCCTCCAGCAAAAAAAGGACAGAGCAGTGAAAATGTGGGTGTTTGAGCAGGTTTTCAGATCAGTGTCTGTCTTAGCATGAAACTTGCACTTGATTTGAGGATTGTTTTAGAGATTAAAAAAATACACATTTTAGGGTAGTAATGATTAGTCAGTAATGACACTAAGAACAGCTAAATGGAGAGCCAAACCCTATTTTTTAGGCAGGTGACAGTAGGTTTGTCTTAGTAGTTGGAGGTTTTGGCCCTTCTTATGTAGGTACCCCAGTAGACATCACAGAAAAGTAAACAGTTCCTGTCATCAAAAGGGAAAAACAAAAAAACCCAATCTTGCAAGACTTTTTCATGTAATAAAATGAAGATACAATTACAGCCCCTATTGTCATTGTTAGCCACTGTACTCAAGACTGGTGCTGCAGGCTCGCTTTGCTGAGGCAGCTGACGAGGCCTCTGCCCTCAGCCGCCCAGCCCTCCCTGCCCCAAAGGTCCACTCCCACTGTCGTGGTGGCTCCCCAGGCTATGCGGCCACTTCTCTACCTCAGTGTACCAGGTGTAAATTGAAACGGGCAGTTGTTCACAGCACATGGCTGTTGTCCTGCTTTTATTCTGCTGTGTGTTTGTACCCACTGAAACCCGGAGTGTGGTTCCACACCAGGTTCGTGTTGCTCACCTAGCACTGCTCTTACTGTTCTGCTCTTTTGCTGGTATAGTTAGTGCTCTGTAGACAACTGAACTCTGGATTTCTTTGCTTTCAGGACTACGACCTCTGCATTAACTGCTACAACACTAAGAGCCATGACCACAAGATGGTTAAGTGGGGCCTGGGTCTGGATGATGAGAGTAACAGCCAAGGAGAGCAACAGTCAAAGAGCCCCCAGGAGTCACGACGACTGAGCATCCAGCGCTGCATTCAGTCCCTTGTCCATGCCTGTCAGTGCCGCAATGCAAACTGCTCATTGCCATCCTGCCAGAAGATGAAACGGGTTGTCCAGCACACCAAGGGCTGCAAGCGCAAGACCAACGGTGGCTGTCCGGTGTGCAAACAGCTCATAGCTCTTTGCTGCTACCATGCCAAACACTGCCAAGAGAACAAATGCCCTGTGCCATTCTGTCTCAATATCAAACACAAACTTCGACAGCAGCAGATCCAGCATCGCCTGCAGCAGGCTCAGCTCATGCGCAGAAGGATGGCTACCATGAACACCCGAAACGTGCCTCAGCAAAGTTTGCCTTCTCCTACCTCAGCAACGCCTGGTACCCCTACGCAGCAGCCAAGTACACCGCAAACGCCACAGCCTCCTCCCCAGCCCCAGCCTTCCCCTGTAAGTATGTCACCGGCTGGCTTTCCCAGTGTGTCAAGAACTCAGCCCCCTACTACTGTTTCAACAGGAAAACCTGCAAACCCGGTTTCTGCACCTCCACCTCCGGCTCAGCCTCCGCCAGCCGCAGTGGAAGCAGCTCGGCAGATTGAGAGAGAAGCTGCCCAGCAGCAACAGCAGCTCTACAGGGTCAACAACATTAACAATGGTTTGCCTCCTGGTCGCCCAGGACTAGTAAACCCGACGGTCGGTTCAGTGAACCAGATGCAGCAAGTCAGCATGAATGTACCCCGGCCCAACCCTGTAAGTGGTCCAGTGATGTCCAACATGCAGCCTGGACAATGGCAGTCACCTCCAATGCCGCAGCAGCAACCAATGCAGCCAGGAATGGCGAGACCAGTTATGCCAATGGCGACGCCACAAGCAGTGGCTGGGCCAAGGATGCCGGGTGTGCAGCAGCCGCCACGGAGCATCCCCCCGAATGCCCTTCAGGACTTACTGAGGACCTTGAAATCGCCAAGTTCTCCGCAGCAGCAACAGCAGGTTCTTAATATCCTCAAATCCAACCCTCAGCTTATGGCAGCTTTTATAAAGCAAAGAACAGCCAAATATGTGGCTAACCAGCCTGGGATGCAGCCGCAAGCAGGCATACAGCCCCAGCCTGGGATGCAGCAGCCGCAGACTGGCATGCAACAGCCAGGCATGCACGCTCAAGCAGGGTTGCAGAACATGAACGCGATGCAAGCAGGAGTGCAGAGACCGAGCGTTCCGCCCCAGCAGCAAGGGATAGGAGCTATGAATCCCCAGGGACAAGCGATAAACATTATGAACCCCGGCCACAACCCTAGCATGGCAAACATGAGTCCGCAGTACCGAGAAATACTGAGGCGGCAATTACTGCAGCAGCAGCAGCAACAGCAGCAGCAGCAGCAAGGAGGGGCTGGCATGGCAGGAGGGATGGCAGGACATAACCAGTTCCAGCAGCCTCAAGGACCAGGAGGTTACCCTCAAGCCATGCAGCAGCAGCGGATGCAGCAGCATATATCGATACAGGGGGGGTCCATGGGACAGATGGCTCAGATGGGACAGCTGAACCAGATGGGCCAGCCCGGCATGGGCGCAGACGGCACTCCCAACATCCAGCAAGCACTGCAGCAGCGGATCCTGCAACAGCAGCAGATGAAACAGCAGATAGGGTCCCCCGGCCAGCCTAACCCCATGAGCCCACAGCAGCACATGCTCTCAGGACAACCGCAGGCATCTCATCTCCCTGGCCAGCAGATCGCCACCTCCCTCAGCAACCAGGTGCGGTCCCCAGCACCCGTTCAGTCTCCCCGTCCCCAGTCCCAGCCACCACATTCCAGCCCGTCACCCAGGATACAGCCCCAACCGTCACCTCACCACGTCTCTCCCCAGACTGGTTCCCCCCACCCAGGACTCGCAGTTACTATGGCTAGCTCCATGGATCAGGGACACTTGGGCAACCCAGAACAGAGTGCAATGCTTCCACAACTAAACACCCCGAACAGGAGTGCGTTGTCTAACGAATTGTCTCTGGTTGGTGACACCACCGGGGACACATTAGAAAAATTTGTGGAGGGTTTGTAGCATTATGGGAGCATCACTTTTTTTTTTTTCCTTTCGTGTTCTTGGACATTTTGTACTGAAAATTCAGACATCTGGGTTGTTTTGAATCCTAGATGGAACTGCTGCTTCCTACACATGGAAGAATGAATTGCTGTTTAAAAAAAAAAAAAAAAAAAAACCAATACAAAGAATATATTTTTTTGTTAAAGCCAGGCGGTTAAAATATCTGGTCTCTTTTGTGGGTTTTTTTGGTTTTTATTTTTTTGTTGCTGTTGACTCATACCTTTTTTTTAATGGGGAAAACAAGTTCATTATATTCATATTTTTTATTTGTATTTTCAAGACTTTAAACATTTGCGTTTAAAAGAAGAAAAAATAATATTCAGAAACTGTTTCCTGAAATAATGCAACATTATAATGTATCCCGGTAACTTTGACACGTTGCGGGAAGATTTTTTTTCTATAGTGAACTCTGCAGGCGTTTGAAGTATTACCCCTGGAAAGATAGGAATTGACTCTTGCACACAAAAACACACATTGGCCAATGCCAAAATCCTTGTCTTGCAGATGTAGAAATTGTTGCTTTGTTTCTCTGATAAAACTGGTTTTAGATGAAAATAGGGATGATCACTCTTAGACCGTGCTGATTTGAATAGAGAAGAAGCATTCTTTTCTTTCTTTCTTCTGTGTGAAACTTGAAATGAGGAAAAGCAATTCTAGTGTAAATCATGCAAGCGCTATAATTACTATAAATAAGAAAATCCAAGAAGATTCAATCACTGTATAGAATGGTAAAAAAAAACAAACTCATTTCTTACTTATAATATCATATTGTTAAATAAACTGTGTGCAACAGACAAAAAGGGTGGTCCTTCTTGAATTCATGTACATGGTATTAACACTTAGTGTTTGGGTTTTTTGTTATGAAAATGCTGTTTTCAACATTGTATTTGGACTATGCATGTCTTTTTTCCATTGTATATAAAGTATTGCTTAAAATTGATATAAATTACTGAAGTTTTTAACATGTATTCTGTTCTTTAAAATCCATGTAAGAATGTTTAAGGTTTTTATTTATTTATATATTTTTTGATCATGTTCTTTGTAAGACATGGCTATGAATATTCACTCATTACACAGAGCAGCCAGAGGCATCGATAGGAGTGGCACGATACATGGAGTATTGTAGGTAGCATGTCTGTTTTACAACACCCTTTAGTGATTGTTTCCTTTTCGGGGAGGGAGAGGAGAGGGAAATGGTTCCCCTACATTGAATATTTGCAGGTGTTCATCCGTAAGGGTTAACTGGAATAAATTATTAATAGCCGTTGCTTTTTAAAAACTGCATTAATTTAGAGAAGGATCACCAATGAAAGGAAAATAGAGAGTATTGAGTTAATTCTAGGCTAATTTATTTAGTCTACAGTAAAATACGAACCTATTGACTTTAACACTATTTTTCTGCTGTTAACTCTGAGTCTAGATTTGAGGGTTTTCTGTGGAATAAAAAATAACAAATCATGTACATGTTCCCTTTAATATCCTGTCACCATGCCCTCATGTTCCTGGGATATTTGCCCCCCCTCCCCACAATGAATTACTTACTTTCTTGGAGTTAAAAAGTCCAGGGAAACTTTCCCAGCGTAGGTGTGAGCTAAAACCACGACTAGCCTAAAATGCCATCACTCAGACCTTGAGGCTTCTCGATTACGTGCGACTGGCGTGGGATTTGCAGCAAACCCAGCAAGGTATCCCGCCCGGCAGCTGCTGCCGCTCCAGCGGGGAGCACCGGGCACACGTGGCTTTTCACGTTAAGTTAGCGCTTCCTCCAGCCTGAACGTTTTTATTGGAACGATGTTGGGGGAGTGTGGGGGGGAGAAGAGCAAACGATTTATCTCAACTTTTATCCCCGTTCTGTGAAAACAGTAGTGCGCTGCGGCGCTACTTCATTCTTTTTAACTGTAGAGGGTCTCTGCTTAAACTTTTCTTGCAAACTTTTAACTATTGTATCTTTTTCACCACCATTGGATTCATCTGCCCATGCAATCGTCTTCAGCAATTCAAGATGTCAAAGTTTGGGGCTGGGGTGAGGTCAGTGAACACTAACCCAAAGCTTGTCCAGAAGAAATTGCTGTAAAAAGAAAAAAAAAAAAAAAAAAAAGATGGAAAGCCCTGATGCTGTGTCTCATGCTGTGTACTTAAAAAGAGGAAAAATACTATATTTGTGATCAAAAAGAGGAAACTTGAAATGTGCTGGTGTTTCTAATAAAAGCTGGTAAAACTGCTTGGATTGAAGGATGGTTCCACTTGGCTGGTGCCCGCTAGGATCAGCGAAGCCTGCCACCCAAGGTTAAGATAACTGCACTCAATCTTGCTAATACCTTTAACCACCGTCCATTTTAAAAACGTCAGCACCGTTTCTGGATGTGGATAAGCAGAGTCCTGTTTGGAGCCCAGAGAGGCGGTGTGGCTCTTGGGCTGTAGCTCACTTGGGTTCCTGCTCCTGGGGAAGAGTGAGGAATGAAAAAACCCTGATGGGAAGCAAATACCGGAATGTTTTTAAGTACAACCTGAAGTATGTTGAGAGCACAGAGCAAGGGATATAGATTTAGATCTGATAATCCCAGCTTGCTGGAGCAATTGTTGTAGATAAGAGGAGGTATTTTACCAGGGAGAGGAGGGAAGCGCAAAGCTGAAGTCAAACATGAGGAGGGGCTGGGCTTGGTGTACAGCCCCTCCAGTCAGGGGGGCTTCACTCCACTCTCCTTTGTTGATAGGAAATTCAGCATAGCTGAACACTGCACAGCCATCTGATTTTTCAGGTCCTTGCCTGTGTTTTGATGGGGGAGGTACTGGCAATAAGGAACAGCATCCTAGAAATACAAGAACTTACAAGGCAAGAACGCACTGGAGATTAGCGCAGGATCTTTCACACCAGAGGAGGTGGCTAAGACCCCTTTCTGAATTCTGGAGGGGAAGAAGGTGCTTAAATCTGAACATTGAGCTGCAACAACTTGGTTCTCTGCTCTTCTTTTCCTTGGCTGTCTGCCACGCTCTGCTCTCTGCTGCTGGCTATCCTGACTTTACCAACACTGCTACCACAGCAGGCTGCGAGCGCATTTCTTCTTGCTGCAGACACACCAGCTGAGGTTCACCTCGGTTGCTCATCGCTGTCCCACCAGGCCAGAAATCTGCCCACAGCACGCGTGTAGGCGCTCCCTGCTCTGGTCTTCCTCCTGGATGCTTTAGAGCGAAGGGGCGAGGGTCTGACCGCAGCAGCGGGCTGAGGAAGAGGAGCCCTCCTGCCAGGGGTACAGCACTTAACAAAAAGTAACCCCGCTGGGGACAGCAACCCCGTCGGTCACTCTGTACGAAGCCAGAAGTGGTACGTGTCCACAGCTGTAGCAGCACAACGTTCCTTCGAGTGAGTGGCAGTGTACAGCAGTAAGTGGAGGCAGTCAATGGCTTACAAAGGTGATCTGGGTATGCACCAGGTGCTTCCTCCGAAGCAAAGCCCATGGTTTTCTCAGTGCAGTGAAGATCTAGCAGCCGCTGTACGGAGCTGGTAGCCGGGGGGAGCACGGCAGAGCCCGCAGGCTGCTGTGCGGGGGCAATGTGTCCTTCCCTGTGCTTCCTCTCCACAGCTGGGAACTTAAAATGGAGGATGGGGTGATCTCTGCCACCCGCAGCGTGCTGCCAGGGCAGTGATTGAAGACAGTAGGTGCCAACCACCGGATAATCGAAAGGAGCCTGAACAGAGGGGAGGATCTGTACCAGATCCCCTGCAGTGCCCAAGCCTTCCCCGCAGGAACACGCTTCACGGCTAAATGGTCAAAGCGGACCCAAGGCAGGAGAGTGACGCAGCACAAGGTGAGGTAGGAGGAGGGCTCAGGTGTTTCGCAGCAGGTACAAGAGCTCTGGTACAGCGTCGTGGCAGAGCAATGCTCAGGAGAGCTGTTGGGGTCAGCTGGAGGTAGCAATGAACGCAGCAGTAGGAGGAAAGCGTTTGAAACGGGCTCAGAAGTCATTTTGGTTTTGGCCGCAGCACGGGGAATCTCGAGGAGGGGCTGGGGTTGGTTCCAGATGGAAATGCAGCCCAGCGAAAGGGTGCCGGGGTGATGCAAAGGCTCATGCTGGGTTTGTTGCACCTAATCCATAACATCGAGCACCGTACAAACCCCACTGCCTGCCAGTGTTTCTTAGACGCAAACCTCCAAAGCAACATGCAGATCGGCATAGTCCCAAGGATAAGTTGCAAGCACGAGTGAATTGCGCACGTAGCTTTTCCAGCGAGCTCCCCTGAGCCTGGGATTACAAAGCTGTCTCTGTTAGGTGGTCACGGTTCCCTCCTGAAGGCCCTCGTCTCCTGTCTGGAAGTGGTTAGTGCTCACTGAAATGAGACCTGCTCTTTTTATTTTTAGCTGTGGTGTTCATTGAGGCCAGGCTCTGCTCTCATGCACGTTCCAAATTCTCTCTGCTCTCAGCAGAGCGGTTTATTTCCTCTCTCACCCCCACCCTGTCCAAAGCCTTTCTCCGATACCTCGGCCCTTTAGGTCTCGATGATCTGTGCTCACAGCAGCCCCAGGAGATGAGGAATTTCAGAGGAACAGGAAAATGAGATATTAAGCAATTTGCCCAAAGCCAAGCAGGGGAGCCTGGCCAAGGTGTGGCACACGGGGGGTTCCGAAGGGCTGCTCCCAGCCCGGCACAGCCTTTCCTCGGCCCTCAGCCCCCGTGGAGGGGCTGGGAGAGACACGGTGCGTGCCCGCCGCCCCCCCCCCCCCTGCCACAACCCGCGGTGTGGAACGGGCTCCCTGCAGCAAAACCTGCGTCAGTAACTGCGAGGCACCCTCACGGGTGCCTGCGTGAGGAGAGGCGCGTGGTTTTGTAACCCGTGCCTGCCTTCCCCTTGCTAACGAGTCCTCAGGAGAAACACGGAGGGGATTTTAACCATCAAAATGGGACAGGTTTGGGAGCGGCGGCCTGGACTTGGCGTCCGCGGTTACCACCTCTGTCGCCCTGAAAACCCACAGCAGGAAGAGCCCTGGCAC